GCTGTTCGGCATAATTTGAAAACAGAAACTTTTGCATAAAATTAAGCAAATTTTGCATAAAATTAAGCAAAATACAATCGCAAAAAAATATCGATATATTTTGGGGTTTTTCAAATACCACAACAGCCTACTTTTAACCCATTAAGCGCCAGCGCTCTCCCCTTGACGAGTAAAATCGTCTGGCATTAGACAGAGTAAAATAATAAAGTAGGGTGCATAAGGGCACAATGTGACTCAATAGGTTAATCAAACAAAACGATTACATTCAATGTGATAAAAACACGAGTTGAAAAAGTTGGTCATTTGCAAACAGTATACAGAGGCTAACCAAAGGCAGTCACAGGAAATTTTTGAAAGTGCACCAAGCTATTTCAAACTTTCCAAGAATTGTTCAAAACTGTTCTTTTAATCAAAACAATTACTTTAGCATGATAAAAATATGAATTGGAATATTTTGGGTAGAGGCAATCCTATGCTAATTTATTTATTTATTATTATTTATTTATCAAAGCGGAGACCACAGGATATTTTTGAAAACATGTAAAAGTGCCCCAGCCTACTCTAAACTTTCTGAAAATTGTCCAAACCATTATTTTAATCGAAACAATTTCAAGTGATAAAAAAAACATCAATTGAAAAATGTTGTTCATTTGCAAACGAAAGAGCACATGATTTTTTAGAACTGACCTTTCAAGTAGTTCCTCTGCAAACCCAACTGAACTAACACATGTCAACATGACGATACATTCAATTGCCTTGTACACATTGCTGGTGTATAGTTTCTTTGGTAAGCCATAGAGTTGAATTGCTGTTCTCTAAGAAAAATAAGATTAACTCATTAAGCTGCAAAGTAACCAAATGTCTGATGCCAGATCATTTTACTCAAATTAAGAGAAAAGTGGCAATGTATCTTGTTAACACATTAAACTGCAATGCAACAAAATGTGCCCTACTTTTTAATTTCCCCCAGGGCTGCAAATTACTGTCGGACATCGGACAATGTCCGACTAAATTTGGCGAATGTCCGAGCAAAAGTAATTTTGATCGGACATTGGTCCGATCACAAAAAAATGTCACATTAAACATTTTTTTGCTGTGACAAAATACGATTACAAATTCACTCAATTTGCATTTTGCAATAAAATTTACAAGGCGTTCTACCATTTAATTTTACTTAACATTGCGCCAGAATGGCATACATACTTGTCTCGTGCATGACTTATATATATCGTGTGACGTATATATGTCTGACCAAATTTAGTGATGTTGGTTTTTGTCCGACCAAATTCAAGTTATGTCCGACCAAAATTAAAAGTGATTGGACAAATGTCCTGTCAAGTCAAATATTTATTTGCAGCCCTGTTCCTCTGTCTAATGCCAGATGATTTTACTCATCAAAAGGACAGTGTTACTTAACCAAACAATGGATTTTGTTTAAATTCTAAAACCAATTCAAAATCTCAATATTATAGAGCCCTGAATATTTTAACAAAATACAAAACAGGTATAACTCCAATGGTCGATAACATTTTTATATTTATACAATGTATAACCAGATGTATAATAGTTTGTCCAGATGACATCTGAAATATAGTCGAAATGAAAATAAATAAAAAATGTTATTGACCTTTGGAGTCAAGCCCTGATCAAACGAGAACACAAGTTCATCGCAAGTAAACTTGTTCCAACTTGCCCTGAATTGCGATGGGACCGATCAAACGATAAGCAAGTTTTTGCAAAAATTTGCAGTATTTGTGTGCACCCTGCACATGTCATACCCAAGGTGTTTCCCCTGAAAGGAGAAAGACCCTCCCCCAGGGAAGGACCCTTTACCCAGGGTCCTTACCATTTGGGGAGAAAAGTCACTTGTCGGTACAAGGTCGCACATAATTTTGCTTAACCTATTTAAAAAGGAGTGCAAATCAAGATATATCAGACAAGTCTACCAACTAATAAGTTTTTAAATTAACTTTTCATAACATAATCATTGTTTCAAAAAAAAGAAAATTTCCTTGACTATCTGCAACAATTTTTGCATTTTTCACATAAAATCAAAAACACAGAACTATATACTAAGAATTAAAACTTATTGTTATATACACAGCCAGAAACGCGCAAGTCGGAACAGATCTGCAACAGGTCTGTTAAATCCTGTTGTCAACAAGCCGATATCTGGATGCGTTCGCTCGCCTTGTACCTGTCTGTTCTGACAGGTCCGCAACGGCCTGTCAACAGGTCTGTTAGAAGCTTTGTGACAGAGCTGCAGCAATGCTGTTTTCAACAGGCCTGTTGCAAGTTGTTGACACAGAGCTGCAGCAATGCTGTTTTCAACAACTTGCGACAGACCTGTTGCAAACCGAGGAAAGCGCCTTATCAAGCTTGTGTATTCACTATTTTGAACAAAAAACGGCCAAACAGGTTGCCATATTTCGGTTGTAGTGTTTCGTGAAATAGCCAGACTTTCATATGAACACTTATAAACAAACTTGTGAGATAATTTTTTAGCAAAACAGCTGAAAAAAATACGACAAATTCAAGAAAGGTTCTTATCGTAAACAATTTTCAAAATTAATTGGTCTTTAAGTACGACCGAAATATGACAACCTACTTGCATATTTTTCTTCAAAATAGTACATACAATAACACAAAGCTTCAATAAGGCGTCTTCCTCGCTCGCTGATTTCACTTGAAATTGGAAAGAAATCATTGTATATCACGAATTTCATATTCATTTGAACAATGAAGAACGTTGCAGTGAACACTCGGTTGCTCATGTATTTTTCATTTCTTAAGCTCTAGATCTTGTATTCTCATTGCCACAGTTTCTTCAAAAATCAAAACAGCTTTGAACTTGTTTGATTTTGTTTGAGCCAAAATTCAGAATTCAAAATTCAAAAACAACTAAACATGATTACGTGATTGATATGTTTGTAATATTTCGTCCAATTGCAACGAGGAATGATGACGTGTGCACACGCCTTTATCCAATCAGATTAAAGAAATATAACGATAGCACACGTCAGCAAATTGGAATTTGGAAATCGGAATTATTTTTTAAAAATATAAAAAGTTAAAAACAGCGGCTCCTCTGCATGTGATTTAATATTGCCTTGAATGAGAAAGTGAGGCCGGACGTGTCCATTTCGTGGGATTTTTCTGTTTACCACAGTCTTTACTCACATTTTCGATTTGTTTCCCAACAACAGGCTTGTTGAGCATTGGCTTCAGTTGAAATAAAGAACAATCTTGATGGTTTAAAGACAATACGTCGAGAAACTTTGTTTTATCTCTTAGACTGTCGTGTGATTTTACTGTCAAGACTCAAGTTCATTTTTTTATACAATTGGTTGTAAATTACCACTAACTTTTTAAAAACATTTTGAATCAGGAATTTGTAAAATAACAACAAATTGTCAAACATCAGAAGTCTCAGAATCTACGCTCGTAATTTCTGTATGTACTTTACTGAAATTACAACTGCAGATGTGAATGCCAAAAGGTGCCGAAGTAATTGCCAAAGTTATTTAAGGTGATTTCTTTGCGTGCCTCAGCAAAAAAAATTGCTGAGGCAAACTCTAAAATTATTGAAAGGTTTCGGCAATTATTTGCAGAGGCAAAAATAGTTGAATTTCGAAAGTTGAAGAGGTGTGCCATTCCAATCCGAAACAGATTCATTCGGATTTTGGAACTAAAATATTCAATTTCAGATCGGATTGATGAAGTTGTTTCGTGGTCAGATCAAACTTCGATATTTGAAATAAAATTAATCTATGCATTTATAAAAGCATCATCATGATTTTCGCTGCATTATTTGCTCGATACTTCAATTGGACGTCACTTCGTCAGCTTCTTGACATCTATTTCTTGCTTTTATATTTATTTGGTTAATTAAATATTTCAACTTGAATGAGAAATTTATTTTATTAAAGAATTCTTCGGATCGGAATTCTTTATCAAAATTCGGATCCGATTCGGATTAGACAATTTCAGATCGGATTTTAAACATTAGACAATCGTCAGATTATAAACGTCCAATCTGATCCGATGCACACCTCTAATCACTGCTAAAGATACCAGCCTCGAATAAAAATGACTAACACCCACCACCTGACCCTAGTTTTTTAAAAGTTCTTGCACAGGTTAGGACAAAAAATATTAAAGCCATCTTGAATGTCAGTGATACCACTATAACCACAATGCAAAGCGCTACGAAAACGTAAGAAAGGAATCTTCAATTCAAAATTTCTATATTATAAAACCCTGTATTAAAAAGCAATATAACTTTACATATATTTCATACATCACAATATATCAACACAAAAATAATCCCAAATACCTTGAACAAGACAAACCAGAGGTATTCCAAGCAAATTCTAACCAAATTGATACAGCTGATGCAACATTTATACCAAGATGGAGTGTGAAATACAACATAAAGTTTGAGCCAAGTCAAGCTTGAAAAACATCGAATCTCGACCACAAATGCAACCCACAGCTTTCTTTAAGGAGTTACGAATACACTGTTGTCCATTTGGCAAAGATTAGAGGTTATATTGGGATAAGATTCTACAAAAATAATAAAAGTTTTTAGGACGAAAATTTTCGTTGAAAGCACGAGGCACTGAGCTGTATAATAACTGGAGGACCTGCTCCTATCTCTCGTCAGTCAAAAAAGTGTCGCCAAAAACATGGCGGATTTTGACGCCATATGACGCCATTTCCATGGCAACTGGTCCGAAAACCTCATGGTAATAACCACTGACCAGGCTCAATTCTGAGCCCACGGCAGTTTTCACACCCCCCTGGTTTTTTGCAAAAGATTTGGTTTTTACAGATAAATATTTATAGTTCTCGTTGTTTTAAATCTTTTGTATAAATTTTGAGATATATTTACTACCTTTGACCATTTGGTTAAAGGTATGCAAGTCGTACGTGTTATTCTCGCCCGCGAAAGCCAAACAAAACCTCGAGAAATGTGGGAAAATAGTATTAAAGACGATACTTGAGTCGGGTAAAAGGTAGGAGATGTCTAGTCAATTTTACTCATTCTTTATCTTATTTGACATGAAATTGGTAAGCCTAACGATGAAATACACTTCATTTGTTAAGAAAACAAGCTTTCAGCTTTCTACAGTCCAAATTTCATATTGTAAGGTGTAAAATTTCCCATTATTTTAACAAGCTGTATTCACAAATATTTACTGTAGTTCTATGTATAAAACAACACAGATAAGGATTTGATATTCACAAATTTGTACGATATATACTGTCTAAACTCACTAAAGTGCAAACTATCTTGTGTAATAATGTTAAAAAGGTTGACTGCAGAGACCTGAGGTCTCGTTTTATTACTTTTATAAACATACACTTGATGAAACTATGATGTGTAGGGTTTGTGGTTTGTGTTAATATTTAATATGCACCAACTTTTGTGTACTAAGCTACTGGGGTACTGGAAGCTGGCTTATCCAGGAAGGTAGTTTCTATCTACCTATAAAATACTGATTGGAGATACTTTTTGTGTCATTATACACCTGATTATAAACTCCTTAAAGGTGATCTATAGTCCGATCTGCGCATGTGCACAAAGGAGCCCACTTTTTATGATACAAACAGTTTAGCTATGTTTTGGGTTCTTGCAAAGCTTGATTGTTGTTTCTTGATCATTTATTATACTCTAGAAGCTTGAAAATATAAATAGTTGTCGAATAAAGCTCAATATTTTGGACGCAAAAATGTAAACAAAGGCTTTGCTTACATACGGACTGTAGATCACCTTTAAGCACCAGTGCTCTCCCCTCGACAAGTAAAATTGTCTGGTGTTTATCAATTCATATAAAATTGCACCCTGCATTAAGGTACAATGCAACTTTTAAAACAGTTTAATGAAAGCATTTCTAAGCAGCATTGTATGTAGACCTTTAAGACAGGAATAAACCTGCAGCCATCAGTGATTCTGATGCAGTGTTCAAACGAATTTATACTAATCAGCTACAGTTGTCGAGCTGTAGTTGCAAATTAATTCATGTAAATATCGTAAAGTGAAGCCTGTAGTAAGGTGTAAGGGTAAATGTCAGGATTTTGGACATCACACTCAACAGAACTTTAAGTATCGAAGGTAGCGTCACTAGACGAATATTTTAATTAAGTGTGAATTTTATACATATTTAGACCTAACCAACCTAAAAAAATATAGTTGCATCTTTTGCAGCTGCTTTAACCAGGTCTAAAAATGTATAAAATTTACACTCAAAATTTTCATCTACAAAAACCCTTCAACATTTAGTGATGTACATCAGCATTACCATGTAAATCCCTTTTCTCACCAAACATGCACTTACTGCATGTAATAGTTGGTGGTCAACATAGGAATATTTGCACAAGAAATCAAGAATAGACATTACTGTATCTCTCAATTCTTTATTTTTCTCATACGGAATACATGGTCTGCTTCATTAAATTAATATGTAATTCTTCGATAATAATTAAACTGCTAGTTTATATTTTTTTAGACCAAGAAGTGTTCACTTAAATTAAGGGAGAGGTATTGTCAGTGGCAAATTTGAGGAATCTGATGCATTGGTGAAATACTGCATGTGGTCATGAAATTATACTTCAATGCTGCAATCATCAAGGTCTGAAAATTGGAGGTTTTGTACCAACCTCTGCTAATCAGCAGGGATCAAAAGACGTGTTTAAGTAACACTACTAGTTTTGTAAAGAAAATGAAACACTCCTGATGACATATCAATACTAGATTTGTTGAAATAGTTGAACTGAGGCAATGATAGTAATTCAAGCATTTTGGGGGGAAATTTTTAAAAATGTACTTGTTTTTAAAATGTAAATTTATATTTGACTCATAATTTTCTCAGAACCAATCCAATATCCACTACATTAATTTAAACATATTTTCAGAGGTCAAGTAACTACCAATGATTTGAGCTCTAGGTTTGGAAATAGAAATCACAAAATGTTAACGAAAATTTTAATAAATTTTATATATTTACATAATACGTACTGTAATTTAGTATTTATGACAAAAAGTATTTAATATAATCATTGAATTGTATTGAATTAAATTACATTAATAAGAAGGCATTCATTATTGATGGGGGGGGGGGATGAGTGAGAAAATGGGGGACCTGAGATTTTCCCACATGAAAAGGGGACTGCAATTCTGGTAAACCAAATCCTGGGGGGACCTGACATTGAAGGAAGACACAATTTTACAAATTTCAAAAATCATGATGAGGGTGAAAACAAAAAGAAATCAGATTTACATAAACTTCATCTTTGAATTTATTTATGAAGTTATCAAATACATCATTTCTGAAGTTATCCAAAACACTCGCAGTACATGTTTCATCAGATCTATTAAAACACTTGGGTATTGCCTCTATTGTTATAAATCTGATAAAAGGTTGTTGTTGGTGCTTTGAATATATTTTAATACAACATAATAACTAACTTTCTTTTCTGCTCTCTCAGTCCCTGCTGTACAATTGTACAAGCATGTACATACTACATTTAGACACAAGATGTACATTTAAATTTAATGTAGTGTGAATTAAAAAATTAAATGTCACTGTGTGTAGTACTCTTTATTGTCAATAAAAAAGAGTTGCACCATAATTATACTTGACTACAGTAATTGGTGAACTGTGACTAATTATTATCATAACTTCAAATTGTTCTTCTCCATTTTGGCATCCTGTGCCATCTCTTCTGGTACCTGTATTAAACAGATAAATCCTGCAAAAAAAGATAACATTATTATACCACAATCATGTTATAAATTACACATCTTTAGTAATTAACAAAAATAAATAAGTATTACATATATGTTAACCCTTTAAGTGGCAATGCACCCTAATGTACTGCACTTTAGGGGAGAGCACTGCCGCTCAGTGGATTAATCAGACAATCTTCTGCATGGTTAGGAAAGACTATTTTACTCATCAAGGGGAGAGTGCTCATGGCACTCAATGGAATATAAATCGAACTATCTGCATACCCAATGTGCCCAACTTTAGTTAATCTAGCTCTGTCTAACACCAGATTATTTTACTCGATCTGTCTAATGCCAGACAATTTTACTTGTC